GTCTACCTCTACGACGCGGCCTCCATCTCCGTCTTCTCCGGCGGGGTCGACGTCGGCGACGGGTCCTTCCCCGCCTTCATCCAGGAAGCGAAGAACGCCACCCTACTCGCCGCGGCGCTGTCGGCCCCCGGCGGCCAGACGCTGGACTCGACGGCCGTGTCGGATCTGAAAAAGAAGACGAGGCTGCCGCTGGAGATCGATGTGGACACCAAGGTGGGGGTAAAGATGGGAGGTTGGAAGACGAAGAAAATGAGGATCCAGGTTCGGTGCGAGGGGATCGACGTGGGCGTCCCCAAGGGGAAGGCGGCGCCGGCGGTGTCCTCCCCCACCGCCGCCTGCAAAGTCAAGCTCCGAGTCAAGATCTGGAAGTGGACCATCCCTTAGACCGAGCCCTTTCTCTCACTCTGCATCATTACACCGACCGGTGTCCCTATAATTACCACGAAACGGGCAACAGATCAAGACGATACTTGATTAAGATGTTTGGGATAATTATTATTGTTATTGTACTTTTGGTCGTTTTCTTTAACCGTGTACTGCTGTAAGATGCGGACTAAAATGTGATGGATTGAGCTGGAGATTTGTGCAATGGTGCATGCGGACATGATGGGAAAGCGAAGCTTCCGTGATGAGATCGACCCTTTACATGTCCTGTGAAGCGGGGAAGATAGTAGTTGTAGGCGGCACGCGTTATGACAGCTGGAAATAAGGTTGTGGTAGAAAAGGAGTCAAAGGACTATACAACTGCATGTCATAGAGCTTGCTTGCTGAAGAGAGGTCCATGGGCTATACAACATGTCGGGGCCAGTTTATCCCATTTTTCTTATTAATTATAACTTTATTTCTAACCAAAAAATATGAGATCAAATCACATGATAATTGAAATAAATTATTATTATTATTATTTTTACAAAAGATAAATGATAAAGACTAGAATCCTATAATATACTATCAAAATCGTTAACAACTAAACCACATGACATCTTACTCGAATGATTTCTGAATCAACAATTTGAAGGGATACGCTTAGACTCCGCATTGCAAGCACTTTTGACACGGCTGTCACGTGGACAACCCCATGATCATGTCAACTACTTTTATTCTTATTTATTTCCCCCCTTTTTCAAAAAGAAAGGCTATAACAATCTTAGGCTGTAAGTATGAGAGGAGTAATTGAAAAACAAAAGACATGTATATTGGTAAATATGGACCAATTAGGATGAAGTTGGTCAGTTACTAACGGTTTATTGGCAATCTGATCTGGTCCAGTACAGTTATCAAAAGATCTAGTTCAACATTTTCAGCATAATTTTTCTGATCTCACGGACTGGACCGATTCTTAGATATCCTGTCTCGTCAAAACCATGGATGTCAGTCATTACGATTTTTACCGTGTAGTGAATCCCAGTGGCAGAAATCCAAATACAAATGATGGACGGTATGATCTAAATCAGGCTACTCGTGCCACCCGCAAAGCAACTGCCTTCGCCTCTTTTGCATCAAGCGACGACGTGACAAAGATCATCACCAGTGCAATGTCGAAACCACATGACTCATTTAGCTGTGGAATGAGCTCACCAATTGCTCATTCAGTTCTTCATCCTCATGCCTGTACCTCATCTCCAGCTCCGCCAGTACCTCATCCTCATGCCTGTGGATCAGATCACTCATGCGCCACACCTGCATTAACCACCAACGACCCAAATTTGTCACAATACTCAAGAGCTACTGGACAAAAGAGTCACCCAAATGGTACAACTACATGGTCAAGGCAAACTCAATTTGTTAAATCATCTGATCTGTAGTGTCAGTTGAATGTTAAAAGTACCTGTAAAGTCCCACCTCCATTGACTCTTGCACAATCATCGGAAACGCTGGCTATGGTCCATGGTTCAGTTGCATTCCAATGGAAGTCCACAACTTTATCCCTGTTGTGTAAAAATTGAATATTTATAAGGCTGATTGCAGATTATTACAAAACCTGAAACGAGGAACTATAATGGAAGTCCAAAACTTTATCCCCGATCAACTTCACAAAACGAGGCACCATAATTCTCCAAATAAAAGTTCTATTAGACCAGCACAGACCGACTGCTATTTATCAGTCTGACCAAGCATTGGCACCAAAGCATGTTACTTGATATCACTTGATATACCTTCCATTTTGGTTTACTGCTTGGTATGTTGCAGTGACATTGAACAGAATAAATTGGTCTACTGCTTGGTATCTCTTTACTGACAGCTTGCTGAAACCAGTATTGGATGGGGTATTTAAAATTGTGATCCTAGTAGCTAAATAAATTTCTCAACCCATACTGACCATAGGACTCATGAACCTTAGAGGAACACAATGACACCATGGCCGGTGATCTCACCCTGAATCTAAAAACCTTCTCAAGCCTTCGTGTGGGATGATATCTTTCATATTTGTTTTGAAAAATAAAAGCCCAGGCCAGAGCTCTGGTTGGGTGGAGTTTAGCTTGCAGGCATGTCAAGGACGAGTTCAGACTCCAACTCAAACTGGGGCAGGAGCTTTACCTGGTCGTAACCATATATGACCCATTTACGTGAAAAATAAACAGCCAATCATAAACAAAAAGGAAACATGATTCCTTATATACTATTGCCTAAAGTTTAATGGACCAAAGCAAACAACAGCAGCCAAAAACAGACTAGATGGTTAACCATAGGCATTTCAAAAGCCTTGTGTAATTGGGAGTAGCTACAACCAGAATTTGCTCAACAGCAGGACAAACAGACTCATACCTGTGCCCTGCATGTTGAAAGAATAGACCAGGCGGGGCAGTAGGCGTCCTCATAAAATGTTCATAACTTGCGCCAACCTGAAAAGAAGGGGAATAACTTCACCAAGATGTAAAACTTCAATCATGCAAATGTCATCGGCTAAATAGTGATTTCTCTGAAATTCTTGTGAAGTGTACAATAATATTGATTGTCTGTTTAAACATTTCAGAAACTATGAAATTATTATGGAATACGAGTGAGCTGAAAACTAGATAATGAAAGCTAAGGAAGCATCATCTCATGTCTAATGAACATTATAAAAATCAAAGTTTTCAGGCCAAATTGATAATCTACTCTGGGGCATGACCTACACTACTAGCAAAGCCTAGAAACCAAATCATACAATTCGCTAACCTTTTACATGATCATCAAGCCAACAAAAAATGGATTCCCAAAGCATTTCAAAATAGAATATAAAGCATTAATCTCAATATGAATGTGTTTTGAGTACATGCATATCAAAATTTGACATATTTGATGTTTCTGAAATTGTTAATTTTTGGTGCCCATGTATTATAGGTCTATCCACAGTTACCTGGAATGTTGTGCATTTCAAATAAGAATAAAAAACATTAATCTCAATTTGGATAATATTGACACTTTTGAAGTGTCTGTACTGTTGATAATATTTTAGGAGATATAGTATATGCTCATCTTTAGATACCTGGAACCTAAAATATGTCAGGTCATGGGTATGGGTTGTAGGATAAGCTATGCCACCTAACTTGATTGATCATATGCGGGGGTTATGACTAATTAATTTATTAGTTGGATTGTGGTAAATGTTGGATCAATTATTTAAGTTGCTTCGTATATTGTATAGCAATACATTGTTTTTACCAAGTACTTAACTATACATCATGATGGATCAATAACAGTGGTAGTTTACCTCCTGTTGATGAATTAGAGAGTAAAAATCTCAATTTTATTGTTTTTAACTGGTTCATATATGCTAAATGATATTAATAAGGTTACCCCAAATTACCATAAAGATCTGGGATGTAACAGCATAATGAATTGAGAAGAGGCAGTAACATAGAAATTCCAAGCAACTAAAGGCTTAAATTTTTGCACCACGGAAATGCCCTGAGTAATACTTAAATAAAATTATTATTCATTCCGATTTAAGAAAAGATTAAGATATTTGAGGGTGTCTTGGGTCCAGATCGCAAGATCTAGATATTTGAACAATGGTTGAAACAAATAATTTGACTTTCATCTCAGTATCTTCATCTCAACTACAATAAATTTTCATGTGCAGTTTCTGACTGGCTGAAAATTCAAACCACAAAGTATTAGTGTTTGCCAACGAAAAGGTTAGTGCAGTTCACTCTGATATTAGTAAAATAACAAAAGAAGATAAAAGACAATTAATTTATATCTTTCTTTCCTCCAAATGCACAATGAAAAAAAAGACTCCAGATTTAATCTTTTCATATGCATATGGGCAACAAGATCTCTCACGTTTTACCGTAGGATATAAGAACCCCGATCTTGACTCCTAAATTTGGCTGATTATACTTGGAAGATTTCATTCAGAGGAAGTTTAGTACGTTTAGTCCCACATCAGTTGATGAGTAGGGGAACCAGTGCTTTATAAGCCCCTAGCGTCACCATCTATCCTTAAGAGGTGCCTTTTGGGGCTCACCTCAAAAGGGCAAAATTGTGCGAGCTTACCCAAAGCGAACAATTTCTCACGAGACCTCAACATGTAAAACTATTCATTGACTTTGGTGGTTATAGGTTTTTAGGCGGCTTTTCATGAAGGTGGATATGACATGATGTTATCAGTCAAACAAACTGTTAAGTTTACGATGAGCTTCAGGACAACCAGGTACAGATACTCTCCTCGACAAAAGATAGAAGCAAACAATATGGAAATAGAAATATGATCGACAAACCTAGCAGATGCCCCCATGCCTAATGGTCATGCTAGTACAAAACAGTGATGCTAAATATCCATTTGGCAAAATATTTCTAAATATGAAAGATTATCCACTAAGGTAGCAAGATCATAATCCTTAAAAACGTCAATATCAAGAAATTTGCTATCTTTGTGGAGTTAAATACCTTTGCATAGTCCCAAATGTTTACGAGATTATCCTCTCCAGCACTTCCAAAAACTGATGATTTATCTGGAGACCACTAGAGAAGAAATTAAATAGCATTGAGGTGGACATTTCAACTCCTAAGTTCAAAGATGCACAAAAAAGGAAAATATTAGTGCCTGCACACAAAGAACAGCGGCTTTATGATGTTGAAAAGTGTGTAAAGATGACCCTGCACCACCAGAAGTCAGGTTGCGCCGGTCGAATATTTTAACAGAAGAGTCTGCAGACCTGCAAGTATCAAATAATAAGTTAAATTGACATGTTTTTAACTTTTATAAGCAACAATAACAGTGCATTCACAGAAAATTCATTGTGTTTAGGACACAGCTGAAAAGGTGAAGATATCAGTAGAATCCAGTTGAACACTTTGGCTTGTTAAAGTACCCAGTTAAGAGAAAATTTTCATCATGAGGACTCCAATCAACACAATTAATGTCACCATCATGAGCTTTCTCAACCTGTTCAATGGCAAAACGAAATTAGGACTCAGCGAATAGCATGACTACAGACTAAATATATTAAAATTATGAAATATATGATAAATAAGAATAATATCATGAACAGACTACAAAACCATACTACTTAAGGTGGTAATTCCTTTATGACACAGCTAGCAGCTCAATCAAATGTAACTGTAGACATTCTGACATGCCACTTTACAATCACTACATTTACATCAAAATAAAAAAAATTCAACAGAAAGACAACATGCCATATCATATGTATTACACAACAATATAAAAAGGAAAGAGAGAACAAAGAAATGAATTATTCAGCAACTGTGAATGACATGTTGCTCAGTGATTTCAGTACCTTGTACATGAAAAAAAAGAAGTTTTTAGTCAATACATACAACAGCAAAAACTGAAAGAAGAATAGGTGTTCTGTGTAAATCAGCAATCACATGTGAGAGTACGTGCATATATGCATGCTAAAATGGTATAATCAATCTTGTTTATACAGTTTCTCCAATACTCAATGCTCAAAAAACAGATTTTCACCAAGAAAATACTAAATAATGCATTTGTTGGCACTAAATATCAAGAATTGAGGTGCCACTAGAGTTGTCTGGATGCTGAACACTAGCACAGTACATGACATGTACATGCCAAAACAATAAAGTAGCAATAAAAGAAAAAAGGGACAATGGGAAATAGAAATAGTATCAACAGAAGCAAACTAGTAATAAGTACTTACCTTTCCTCGCCTTGGGCATTGTTACACTCCTCTTGCCTCCATCAGGCAACTTGGAGCAATTTTTTTATATATTGTTGCAGTAAGGTGATGCAAAAGTGGCCAATATATCAATAGCTGAAACCCTAAATTAAAAAGTGAAGCCTAAACCTTTAGACCATTCTTTTAAAAACATAAATGCTCAAGTGACATGCTCGAGACCAAGGATTGTCATTCTGATTAGTATGGATCAACCTACCATGCTAGAAGGAATCAATAGGCAACATGCCGATCCATGTTGGTGGTGTAGACACATGGCTATTCTATCATGTGCCAATCAGTACAGGGGCATGCTGACTGATAACGCACAATACCATGTATTGCTAAAATGGTACAGCCATGCTCCTATACCATAAAATATCAAGCCTTGCCAGAGTTCACAGTGTCACTTAAGCCATATATGTTTAACTTCATTGATGATTAAGTCAATTAATGTACAAATGCAAGAAATTAGCTGTGCATACTATTGCTAGTAGAATACATGGTCTTTCTTGAAAAAACTGATTCCCACTAATTAAAAGAGAAGTTGGCTTCCACATTGTATAAAAGTAAAAAGGAAAATTCCAAATTAATAACGAAGTTTATGTAAGGTAGTTGAAAATGCAACACAAGAAAAAACATTTGAACCTTGAGGGCAGGACTTCTCCCAGCACGAGCATCCCACAGAATAAGGCAAGAGTCATCACCTACGCTACAAAATTCCTGTGGACTTGAGAATAACAATGACAAAAAGTTACCACAATTGTGCATTATAATCACATTATTTTTAGCAAATTAGTAACCATGCAATTACCTAAAATGGCAGAACTGCACATCTTCAACAGTATCTGTATGCCCATGGAATATACTTCGTGGTGCAACAGTTGGACTGTCTGAAATCTTATCTTCACTGGCGTTCACAGATTGCATATGGCTCGGGCTTCCCATGGGCACCCCAAGAGATGTAGTATTTGTTAAAGAAGATACATGATCACGTATACACCATAAAACCACTAAATTGTCCCTCCCTGCAAAAAAATGAAACTTCGATCTCAAATATGGAATAAGATCTGCTATTAGAGAAAAAGAAACAATGACTTACAACTATAGTTAGAAGACCCAAATTTGACCATGACTAATACTTTCCAAGGCAATAACATGATTGCACCCACACATTGACCTAATACATACACATTCAAGGCCCAAACAAAAATATTGCTAGATTTCATATGGTTTCTTTCTCCATCAAACTACAACATTTGACAGCATATTATGCAAGATATTTGCAAACCACAATTTTCTGATAGTTGACAAGCTTAATTTGATACCCATGCAGTATCTAAGCCAGCATACAAGGTTTGGATCCTAAACAAGACAAGCTTATGCCAGGCACACCAGCTAGTTTCACTGAAGTCTTATCTGAGCCAAGGTTGAAAACAGTAGCATGCATAAATGTGCACATAATTGATCACCATTAAAATGGCAACCATATCACTCTAGTATCTTTCTCGGCCATGCGCAGCTTCTGCTGATTAAAGGAAGCCATATTAGCCCAAAGGCTAGGTTGCTGAACTTATGCCAGGATCACCAACAAATTTCACTAGAAGTCTTGGCTCAGCCAAGGATGAGCATAGCAGCGTGCATAGATGCGAACATGAGTTGACCACCATCAAAATGTGAACCATATCACTTCAAAATCATGCTCCCCCAAACAGACCTTGTTTGCTGTCTTAATGAAAGGATCTACTTCTGTTGGGGAAGCTACATTAACCCATAGGTCAAGTTGCTGCAACATCAGCATTTCCTCAAATGGTGCAATGATGTTATAGCGCAAACTCTCTAATGAGCTGAAATAACCTGAAACAATTTGTGTATTTTGTTGGTTAGAAACTTCAGATTCTTCGCCAATATTGGTCGAAACAGATCGGATGCTACAAAAATTAGAACTCCATATGGATGTACATTTATTTACTGGATGTAGATTCAGATAACCTTTGGAATAAGGATCCAGATCCATATAGCCAGATAAACTTTGGATCCGAATAGGCAATACTTTAGATCAATCCATATTTGACAGTGACATTTATGGTTTCTGTATTCAAGCCAAGGATTTAACTCCATGTTAAATACTAGTTTTGTTAACCATTCAAACCAGTACAACACCAGCACATATAGCTGTATCAGGACCACACTGCCCTCTATCATAAAAAAAAATGTAACAAAAAATTAAATACTGATCAGGACCAACTCATATGGTCCAATACTGGTCCTTCAACGGAAATTTGATTCCTCGGTTAAAGCTTTATTTGACATTTACAAATTAATCCCATCTACCGAAGTGATCTTTTCCGTGATAAACCTACTGTTGTGTGCATCTTTTTTACCTATACAAAATATTTAGTAATAAACTAGTTCTTAGAAACTCAATTCATATGTTATCTGCCTAGAATCTGATCTGTATCTGTATGTCCTCCACATCCAATTTTCTTCTCAAGTCTTGATGGTTGTCAAACATCTGATTTGTATCCATATGTCATAAATCCAATACATATTTTGTATTTGAATCTCCATATCTGTATTATATCCAATCATATATCTATAGTTCGTTTTTGCTGTGTTGCACAAATATCGTTCCAAAATTCAGTATCAATCTAAACTATCCGAGTATCCGTACCAATATTCATACTCACCAGTTAAAAGAGGATATAGATATTGCAAATTAGAAATACTCCAAACAAAAGAAAAAAATGCTAGTTTAAAGTCAGTGTTAATATGGAAGGCACCCAAGCTAAAATTTTCATCATTAATAATTCATCCACCAAAGAAATTCAACTGTTAACTTGAAAGACAACATAAGCAAAGAGAAACTCTATTATTCCAGAGAAGTATAATAAATTTACGAGTTAATCATCAAATTATAATATTAAACCATGAATCTTACAGGATCCCAACAAAATACAAGAACTACTACATGCCCTTGACAGATGAATTTCTGTATAAAACATATCCACTGATGATGTACATCTCAAAAGATATATATATATATATATATATATATATATATATCAGATGGAGAATTGGAGATGGACATACTATAATGTAGGCAGCCTAGTTAATTAGGATTATACCAAGTCACCTCCAATCAGGTCAGTCAAAGAAAAATAATCAACACTTATCATAAGATATATCATAATCTATTATTTATTGAACATATGTAAAAAAGACATTTTATACATTCTCCATTGATACATCAACCACAAGATATACTATAACCCGTTTCATAGCATTTTAGCATGTTAACAACTCAATACAAGACTTCATTGTCATGACACAAGCTCTAGAAAAGAACCTTGAATTACTTCAAAGCCAGTCAATCTTCTCGATACAAGGCTCCAATGTCATTATAGAATAGGCATGAGAAACAACCATGATTTAGTGATTATGTCCCGTTTTCAACCTTCTCTTAAGTACTCAGGTCAATGATGTTAGCTACTGCAATCCAAGCGTTAATTGACTATAAGAATGTTGGCGACAGCACTGTTAGCAGATAGATGATAAAATCATAACCACAATACATTATCCAAGAGTAGTTCAACATGGAAATTTGAAAATGTCATAGCATGGATACTCTCATTGGTCATCTCACTCACAGAGAACCTGACATAAATACAACTCACCAAGTCGTGTCACATTGAACTCCATATTTCAGGTGCTCACGTCTATTTTTTCAATGTGCAAAGTCCATAGTTATCAAAAGAATTTAAAAATCATTTTAAATATTCATATGCTCCAAACCAGATCATGTGTTTGGTTCATATCTATATCTAGATGAAAGGAATAAAATTCAACCAAGGATTGGCACCGGTTCATTTAGCATAGTACTGGTTGATATTCAATTATTTTTACTTTATCCTGTAATACTGAATGTTACAGGTCGATATACCGCATGATATATAGGTACCATGTCAGGTCCAACCAATCACCAAAACCAGCTTTGGGCTGAGATGTAAATCCTTGCATGAAAGTATTTAAGCTCAATGAATATTTATTATAGTACACCTTAATTTTCTAGAGGGGCCACAAAATATATATAAACATTGTATATTATTTGCACTTGTCTCATAATTAGAAAGATCAGCTTGTTCAAAATCCTTATCACAAAATTCTCGTTTCAAAGAAAAAAAAAGAGGAAGCCTTTTTCTTCCGAAGTAATAGGATTACCATGTAAGAGTACTAGCTGTAGAAACAGTAACTACATGCCAACATAAAAGTTATTTAGCCCTACCCAAACATTACATAAATGTGAACCTCAGTTAATTAACTAACATATTATAGAGATGTGTCATGATGTTCAATACAAGAAGGCTACATTTAGATGAATGCACTAAGCCATCTAATAAAATGTACCAACTAATTCTTAAAAGGAAAAGTAAATTATTTAGCAACAAAAGATAAGTATATCATACCACTGAAAAGGTTGGAAAAATGCAAACACATTTAATGAAAGTGGATAAGTGAACAAGGTTGCGATATTTAAAGGAATCAAACTTCACTAAAAATTAGCTACAACCTCCAGAAAGTACAAGGGCTTCATAATTGCACATGGCAAGAGCATATTCTGCATTACTTTGATGTCCTGTTAATATCTGCAAGATCAACTGGATTATGAGTCAAAGTACCTGCTTAGACAATTCAAATTACAACAGAATGAAGTTTAGTAGGAAACAAACTAACTGTAAGATGCAAAATGCTCTTTGAATTAAATAATTAAGAAAAAATAAATTAACAAATTAACTATCAGGTTATGATGGATGAAATCTAATAGAACTGCTTTGTAAAACTTGTAGAAGTAGGAAAAAGAAACCAAATTTGGATGGGAATCTGCAGCTCCAAGATCATCACCACAATCAGGCTGTGCATCAACATCCCAAATAAGTACCTGTGCCACCACCAGGAAGACCAACCAACATTTCATCTGACATCAATGAAAATTATCAATTCTTGAATGTAATAAAACATACTTCAGGACTGTCAGTGTGTGTTGCAACTATGTTACTATTTTGAGGAAGTTCTCTGATTCTGTTAACCTGCAAAATATAAGACATCAATGACACTTGTTTTTAATCTCATCTATTAGGATAAGAAAGAATTAAGCTACGTCACACTACTCAGTCTGATCTAAGTGTCAATCTTTGGACATATGAACAAACCTAATCAAGTCAAATCAAAGTTAAAGCCAACTATCGTAATCAAATTTAAAACTAACACTTGCTAACACAAATATGATTAATAGATCTGTCTTCTTGGATCACATTCATTGATTCTGTTGCATGTGGTGCACTCTCAAGCAATGACCAATCATATGGTATAGCAATAATACAGTCCAAAATTCCAGCCCCTTAACTTGTCGACCACTAGATTTAAATGACACAATGGACCCAACAAACCAGCTCAGCTTCATCTTCTTCCCCATACTCATTGAGATTGTCTTCTGACTTCTTGCCTCCGCTTGGATGATTTCCATGCTCAGGTGACAGGAAAATCTTCAATTAGGGCAAACCCATCAAGTAGGACAATTGTGCACCAAGTGATCTACGGTCTTCTTATGGTTGGCTTCAACCAGAACAGATTCATGATGTAAATACTCCAAAGGCCTTTAACTGAGTCTTCCATCTTTTGTAGCTTGTGAAACCTTAATTGTTAAAATTATTCAAATCTAAGAGGAAGAAATCATTGCCACATCAAATTCAGCTTGACCCACATAGTAATTTCTGAAACCAATCTTCTATTGTCTTGTTGTCAATAACACCAAATGAAGGCTGCTCCCTTCATTTTTCCAATAAAATTTTCACGTGATTGATTTTATCAATCTTGACATCAATCAAGATCCAACTGACCTCTGAACTCAGAAACATTTAGTTCATGCATTTGTCTCCTCAAGCAACCAGTGCCTCACAAGTAGGTATTTCTTCTATTCTAATGGCTCGCAACCTCAGCTTCTTGAACACTAGAATGTCCTTTGTCCATCAAAGGATTGCTAGTTTAAGGTCCAAGCTCCTAGATAGTTAAATCATCTCACCATCAGTAGAAATTCTTTCTCAATCTTGTTTCTTTTTTCCAGAAAAGAAGATAATATATAACTAAATAAAAATATTACACCTTATGCTCATGATATCAGCATACAAAACACAACTAAGAGGTGTAGACCAATCCCCTCTCCAAAAATATGAGGGCTTTGTACTCCTAACAAAATTTGCCAGCCAGTTGGCACACCTATACCCTCGTGGTAAATGTGGGGAAGTTTGTAAACAGCAAATGAATTAAGTAGTGAGAGAGTATTCTCTAAAAAGATTCAACATCCTACGTGGAGACTCAATATTGTTACTGAGCATTTGAATATCAGCTTCAACATCAATGTCCACCTCAATCCTTCCAACACCAGCTTGCTTTACATGAAAAAGGCCCTCATTGGCATCAAATAAGTCATTATAGCAATATCTCTGTTAGTGATGAAGTTGCAACCTGCAAGAAGACATTTGCCATCATTATCCCATATATGCACCTTCATGAGATTGATAATGATGGAAACCATCTGCATTAAATTTCAACTTTCTTGGTGCAGGTTTGACCCAAGAAAACCAAAATCTGAATTGTCCCACTTTGGATCCCCTCAGATGTTTTTCCTGTAATGCAATTAGAAATGCAAGCCACGGTTGTGAAAAATATATTAGTAATTTTGCATCCAGAAAACCATCTAATTTCTTTCACAATCTTGTTAAATCTAGCTTTGTGGACCTCCAATGATTGAATATTTCAAATATTTTCTCTTCATTAGCCATCTGATCCAACTCTTTCCCATTCCAGAGTTCCGCACCAAAAACCAATGGAAAAAGACATTTAAAATAGGAAGAGGTAGATCACTGGCTCTAATACTAGTTGATACAAATAGGCACCTGTGGATAAATAGTGTAACTGCAAAGTTTTGAAGTCCTAACTTGTTGCAGGTAAGATGCGGATGAGGTGGCCCACAATTCCAATGCTGTAATATTAATGTCAGATCTGGAGTAAACAAGTCTGCCTTAGTGACCAACAAGCTTTGTGTTCACAGGTGTAATTATTGTGTAACATCAGATTCTGATACTCCTGAAGGATGTTTGCTTGCTTTCCTAAAATTGAGAAGTTGAAAATCTCCTCTTTGTATGATTGAACTTGCTATGGATGACTTTTTGCCCAAAAATAAAAGACAGTAGAGAAAACAAAAAATGTTAGAAAATGATTGTCGCTTACCCACAAAATCCATCTCTAGTTCCTTGTCTGATAACTAAGTTCACAAAAATCCTTTGTGCACTTTAAACATACTAAAAACTTGTTGTTTCAATATCTTCTCTTGCTATCATATATTATTATCAACCAGCAAAAATGCTATATTTGACGTGCAAGAAGGATGAAACTAGCTCGGATTAATTCAAAAGTTGACGTAAAATCTCATCTTTGCCTGATAGAAGTTTCCAACAACTGGATAGCAGTCATACATGCATAAAAAGTCATATACTAATTTAATTGTTGATTCAAGTTCTAGCAGGCTAAAATTTGTAACTTCAAAAGCATTGCATCTTATGAGACACATCTCACGTAATTTAAGTTCAATTGATCTTCTTGTCTTAATGTTTATTGGCTTCTTTGTTGTTGCACCTTTTTCCCTTGAGCCATTAGTTTTGGAAGTGATCCCTTGAATATCGACATCGTTGAGCCTTAGAAAGTCGACTTTGGGCCCTCCATTACTGAAAGACAGGCTTTGTATATGTGCCACAATTGAACAAGCATTTGTTGGTGATAGTCACCATAGATTATTCTCTATCTAATCTGAAATTATGGTCTGTAGTTGATACGATAGCAATAACAAGCCGTAATATCTCAATTGTTTAGGGTCGGCCACATGGATCTTTTACCTCATTGAGTTATGAAAAAGGTAATATCTTTCGATTAAATACTTATTTATAATTTGTTGTTGATATTCACTTGAATTGCCTTACTCAATTGTAAGACAGTAAAAGTAAAGATGAAATATATTCAACGGTAGCTAGCATATATGAGATATCAACATACTGAGCAAGGCACCACTATAGCTATGAGAAATCCACAAACATAAACTATCACTAAATTGATTCTAACAGAAATAATACATTTTCAAGCATGACCTTTGGACCTCACATGATCTTGTAAGAGTTGTTGCAGGGAAGCAAATATTGTCCTGCCAAACAAGAACACTAGAAGTCTCAAAATTCAAATCCTAATAGCAAAATAATTTGCATAACCTATATAAGACCCATATTTGGACTCTCAAACTATAAATAGACATAAAAAATGAGCACTTGAAGTTCCCTAAAATATGTACTAAATTTAATGAGCAAGATCTGTTCGAAAAATCAGAAAAGAATAATCTAATTAGGAAATACTCTTGTAAGCATTACACAATTGACCAGCCTCTGTCCCAACAAAAACAGTAGTCAATTGATGTCATCCAAGAGTTTGACTTGCTTGGACCTAGCTCTGAGTCAGTCAACCCTTGCTAGGATTGGCCAAGGCGGGTCTAGCCACCCTGTAACAAGAATCTCATCAATTAGGGATACTAGCCTAGTAGTGTAGTTGTACATCAAGTGATATCCTCTGAACACTACAAATAAAAAAAGAGAGTAAGTTTACTCAATCCCCTAATATGGATGTCAAGGTAACACTTGGATCTGGTTTATATTGAGCAGAAGTTGCAATTCTCTTCCTTCCATTAGCAATCCCCTCTTACATTTTGCTTCGATCTCCAAACCATCATTGTATAATTTCTCCATGATCACATAACAGCCACTGTTCCCTTGCTTTGTCCATGATCACATAGCAACCTCTGATCCTTGCACTGTATTTTACTATTAATTCCACATTTGAGTGGAAAAGACTTGTCTACATCATCATTTCATAAAATTGTCAGCATACACTTTGATTGAGTCTTTCATCTAGCTGTTAAAGTTGTTCAGATTTCGGATGAAAACTCTATGTTATAATAAATTCTTCATGAAGTATGTAGAGATTTCTTGGAGCAACCTTCTGTTCCCATCGAGTTTACAAAATAAACTGAATCTTCCCGAAATAGTTAGTTGGTATCACTCAGAAAAGGATTCAAAATTGAATAAACAATCGAGGAAGATGTTGGGGTCACCGGCTTCTAAACACACAGAAATCTAGCTATCTAACTTCATGTGCTTGACTCACTACGTAGTCAGTATTTCTGTGTCCTTCTCGGACTGACATCTTATGTTCTAATAGCTTGACACCTCACTGATAAAGAAAACATGAGATAGGATATCAAGAGAATAAAGATTAGGAGAAGCAGACCAAAAGGATCCTGTTCAGCTAGGAACGGCAACAAACTTTATTTCTATTCCAGTTTCAAAAAAATGATTTTTCAGTAAGGTGATTACACTGTTATACTAGTCCTATTACCATATGAATATCAATAAAGAACTAAGCTACCGACTAATACAACTACTATAAGCTTATCAAGACTACTGATATTCAAAGTATAATTATATATCAAACTCTTTGAATATAAGTACTAAACAAAGGATGAAGCCGGCACAAGAGACTCCCACCAATGCAGGGTCTAGGAGGTAATGCAATCATATTTCTTTTCACTAACACAATCAAAGTTTAAAATCTAAGAATTGCTTATTAAAATTTCATTAATAGATTTGTGTTATCTTGAATTGTCTTACATCTCAAGAGACAACTAATCGAGTGATTCCAAAAGATACTAAAGTCAAGATAGGGGAAGTAAAGAGACCAAAGCAGCCCTCACCTATCTGCAAGCAGCAGAAGAAACACAAAAGGGAGTTGGCTGACCCATACCACAACAACCAACAGTGTTTCCAACAAAAGGAGTGGCCATCATTTTATTGGGTGCGGGTGCAGCCAACCCTTGCCATGGCCAACCACCCTCAGGCCACCAAAACAGGGAGCAGCCAACTCAAGCAAGGATTCCACCAACACTTCTAGACTGACAAAAAATCGAGTAAAATATCAAACTATGAGCAAAAACAAGATATATATATATATATATATATATATATATATATATAGAGAGAGAGAGAGAGAGAGAGAGAGAGAGTCAAGGACAAGTAATATGACTTTGGTAGCACATAAGCTATACATCTGCCAGTAATTGTAAGCAGAAAATGCATGTTTAGCTACTTGCTACTTTATTTCCAGCATTGGTACTATTAGTTTCCCTTAGTTCAGTTATTAGTTCATAGTTGGAGGACCTTAATTTTCATCCTAATGAGTTAATTAGGATAAGAATATAGAAATTATCAAAGAAATTGATATTAAGTCCACAAATGCCAATCAATAAACGAATAGTAGATGCAGATAATTTTGATTTCAAAAAGGTGTTTACCTCACCAGGATGAATAATTGTTTTAATCTTTTTCACATAGGGAGATTGCGATTCTTCATCAAACTGCAAAATGAAATACATAGAACATGATAAATTCAATTATCATAAATTAGCAGAAACAACTTAGCATGAACATCAGATAGAAAAAGAAAAGGATAAAGGAGAAATAACTTGATAGAATACTTTCATGTTTACATCTTGCACGTGTGAACTTCACTTGTCACTTCTTTCATTAGATTTAGAAGTGGTAGTCTTAAGGTAATAATAATAAAATTTGCAGTGCTGGCTTGGGAGAAGGCAAAGTAAGAAAATGCGATGAGACTTAAATATGACGGATCCAGAATATCACAGTTGTAATACAACCAAAATTACAAAAATATCCTGTATAAGCATAAATCAAGAAAATAGTTATTCAAAACTGCTAAGCCTCAATCTTGTGCTTAATCATACTATACATGGATAAACATAGCATGAATTCATTCAAGAATTCTATAAATATAACAATTCTATTGCTTACTCTTCCTCATTATGGTATCCAATAAAAGTGAACTCCAATGGGATGACCGTCTGTCAAAGGTAAACCATCATGTCTGATATGCAGTTTCATGACCAGAGTAAAAAAACAAAAAATCAATATTTTCTCCACAAGCTAAGACTCTAAATTCTGCCAAGCATTACAACCACAATAAACAATAATTTTGCAGTTCCTGCAAGTCAACCAGCTTGATTCATCATGGCAATGACAATGGCTTCTCACCATGACTAAAAAAGCAAAACTATGCTTTTCACAAAGAAACTCTTGTATTTAAAAGAAATAAATTCATTATGTACATGAGCGAAGTCTGAGCCAAATGAAGATGCAATAAAACTGATGTTGTGGAAAACTATACAAAGATCGATACATTACCTAGTAAACCATAAATTAGAATAAAAATAAAAGCATATCAACTACAACCAACCTACATGGTCCAATACTGCTCCTTGGTTGGACTCGTAAATACTACTAGTCCATACTGACCGGTAGAAAAAAAATTATTCCTTGACCCAAGTTTTGACATAAGAAGTCACATAACAATTATTGAGAGACTCAAAATAAAACATTTAAAGCAACAAACAAGCAACAAGATAGAGTACCACAGATATGTGCTCTGCAGCTGCAGTCCTTGGTTTCACAACTTCACAGTTTGCTACGACAAGTGTGTTTGGATAAGTTCCATCAGTCTGAACAATAGAGAATAAATTGTTAAAATAGCTGATGAAATACATGAACTATCTTTTACTCTAAAGAACACTGCTAGTAAAGTCAAACTATGAAGACGAAAATACGATTAAAATATAAGACAACATCATAAGTACATGAACAAGATGCACACTTTGTAGTCCAGAACACCATATTCATGTGAGTGAGTGCTACAAAATAAGAGAAAATCAAATAGATAAAAAGGAAAAAGATAGCAAACGATTAGTTGCAAACAACATTAATAATGCGTTAAAGTGAACAGCTATTTTTTTTAATATTCTCTCCACAGTGCTCAAACAAAACTGAGAGAAATTTGGCAGTAATTGTTAAGTAACATGTTAAGTGAAATATTACTAGAACACTCTTCATTTGAGCGTTTGATTCACCATCCCAAATGAAAGTCCATCAAAAGAGTGAAGCAGGTAGAGAACATAAACATTTGGGCATAAAGCGCAAAATTATGATTAGTCCAACATATGCATTATGATTCTATGCAGGGGCACAACCAAATTTTTCACCAGAGAAAGGTTATATAGAGAGGATAAAGTTATAACGATCAGATGATAGTTAAAATCTCAACAACTCAGATTCTGAAATGATACTGATTTTGCTCTTATCAAGGTTGATGGTATTTATACAAATGGAAATTTCTAACTAAAAGAGAGCAAAATGTCCTGATGCCTCAACAGAAAGGGATGGCATGACTTGTAAGGGATTCAATTAAGAAAGAGCAATCCATAAAAGAAATAGATTATAGATTAGGAAAATATTTAGTTACAAGAACAAATCAGTCATTACCCACTAGTACATTGTGAGTTTTCAACAATGGGCTACAGTATCAGAGTAACACTATGGGCAATTAAGATAATTGAAAGAAATGAATACCTACAAAGCTAGATTATGATACTCATTATCAAATAAAGATTCTCATTTTGTTTGTATGGGAACGCTTGAAAGGTTTTTTAACTAATCGCAAGCGTAACTATGTACCTTGTGAGTTAACTTTAACTACGACACAACTAATGCTACTATGCACAAGATAATACAAGTGCAATCATTGGCAATGACTAAGCTGATTCTTATCATTTGGGACTATATATGTAAAATAATGCCTATAAGGTACAACCACAGTAACCTGAACTAACATTATATAGTTCCATAGGTATGATTCAACAAATGCCGACAATGATGTGTATCAAATGCATGCTGATGCACAATGGAGACTCAACTATACCACTTTAAGCCGATCGATAGTCTGACACTTTAAGACAATTTCCTATAGGGACAAGAAAAGTGGAGAATTTAATGCCCATGACACCACCCTGAATATCACAACTGAGATTTTGTGATATAAAGAGTGGGCAATGCTTTACTTCCTTTGTATAATGTCTAATATGACCTATTATTTAAAATTAACTGCTATACAAACCCAGATTAACTAAGCCAGAGTAAACAAATGTGATGGTATTGGTTGAGGGACATTCTTTGGATTTGATGCAACCACTTATGACTAGATAATTTTTTGCTTATACTTGCCAAGCAACCAGGAAAGCTAACAACCAGAATGAAGAAATCCTTGTACAGCTAAAGTAACAGATTATCAAAAGTAACTTGCCCGTTCAGAAAGATAGAGACGTTGGATGTTCTTATATGCCTTTTCCTCAAGTTGTTGACCCCACCTTACAGTAACAAAAACGTGAACAAAAATGGGTTAGACTTTAAAATTTGACATATTTCTAAAAAAGCAAAATTCAAATTAGAAAGAACTTTCACAATGTCAAGGCCATTGATATAGCCATAGATTATAAACTAGTTTCCACACCAATCTATAAAAAGGTAACAGGGAATAAAAGGTTATGCACATGATATCAAATCACAAATATTGTAATTGTTAGAATTTAGGAAGAAATCTAAAAAAATGATTGACTTACAAGCAAGATTTCTAGACAAGCATAACAAAATAAATTTTACATTTGAACTCAAACAATACATATCTCTGCATCTTCTAGAATGATTAGAGTCCATGTTCAATGCTTGATGCAGCATTGATTTTGTAGGGTTAAGTTATAGCTGCGAATAATTATCATAAAAGGACATGCCCAATCCACGAGGTTCCCTCCAATATAAGGTCCGGTGAGAGTCTATGTGTGCAATCTTAACTTCTAAAAAACAACACTATGTATTCCTGAATTGACTTGGAAGCACAACATAGAATTAATCAGCATTCAACTTCTAAGCTTTAAGTTGATGTCTTTTTGGTACAACTGGCCAACCCCTTGCTTCCACTACCTTTAACCAAAATATCTATACATATACATGATAAATCCTATTGTTCCTTTTATTTTTGTACTAGAAAAGCTCCTCTTAGTTTCACCAACAAGAAGATCAATCAAGCCAATGTAAATAATACCCTCTTTCCACCCTTTCTCTACTTCATTTAAATTATACACACAAGCGCGTGCGTGTGCACATACACACACACACACAAGCACACGTGCAAATGCACACACACGTATAAACATGACATGCACATCCATTTCTTGAAATCACCATCAAAAACCAAGAACCAAGAATCAAAACCACAATTTCCCAACTTCACCATTTATCTCAATCAGGCACATCATCAAAATCCACTTCCTCCATTATTATCTCCATTTACGTGGACAAGGAAAAAAAAGGATGGCAGGCACGACTGATTCTTGATATACGTACAGATTATAGGTGTTTAATGTACAAATCAACATCAACAAGGAAAAAATAAAAAACTTATACACATAATACTGAGTCACAAATGCACCTTTTTTCTTTATAGTTTGTATGAGAGAATATAAAGAATAATTAACTTATAGACAAAATTGTTCAAATACTGTATCAGAGCAAAAATTACATAAAAACATGGATTGCAATACAGTCCGGTATGATATGGTATGGACATTATTTATCGTTACAACAAAAGACCGATAAGCCAAGCAACTAAAACCAGCCTATACA